ATGCGATTATAATTTAAGATTATAATTTAAAAGATATTTTACAAAGTATTTTAATGATTCTCTATTATAAATTCAAAATATTTTCTATATTTCTATAAAAAATTAGCGATAAAAGCGATAAAAGAAAATTATAGGAAAGTGGGAAAAAATTGGATTTAAAAATTTAATTTTACAAAATTTTTATTATACTTTTTCTTACAATTAGAGAAATAAATATTTTTATTACATTTTTTCTTAATAACTAAACGCAAATTTACATTTGTAATTTTACAATTTCTAATCGTAACTTCGTATAATATACATTTTTCAAATTTCGCATTTTTTTCTTAATTTAATACTAAAATAAACTATAACTAAAATAAAAATAATCTTAATTTTTACAAACATATTTATTCTGTATACATATTTACATTTGTGGGAGGACGGGGAAAATCCGAGCCTTAACCTAACTTAATTTTAAGTAAAATATTATATTGTAAAACCGTAGGGATAAGAAAGAAGATTGTCGATAAATCTGCGTTTTAATAAAACAGGAGCACACGTTTTCACCTCGTTTTGCATTATTACTTCGTGAAACGCGGTGCGGCAAATTGTCTTAAATCGCAGATTTATCTCTTCCTCCTCCTCTTTTTCCCTATTTAATAATAAATTATAAATACTTTTAAAATTAAGCAGCCTCGAGTTTTCAAAATTTAATTTAATCCCCTTTATCTTACATATTTCATATTTTCGTGCGTCCGGTGTACGTACCACGTATGCGTAAAATTTCGGTCCGCCAGAGATAAACGCCTCGATGAAGCTACCACGCCCGTAACTCTCGAGTTCGTCGGTCATGTCACCCAAAAAATTACCTGTACGCGGTTCGTACTCCTCGGGATCACCGCTGCTCGTATATATACATGAATCTGTATCGTAATATAATACGCGACGATCTAATTTTTCCAAATATTCGTAATTTTAATCGCGCCTGTGCCGTCGTGTATGCCGCTATCACCACGTTAGTTATCGGTGAAGATACCATCGCTTCGCTCTTTAACTGCCATGAAACGTATATCGCATCCTCGTTAACGGGCAATACACCGACTATCTCGTGTTCAGGACTCGACAGCAATTTGGCGAAACGCTGAGGGGATCTTATTATTTCTGTATTCGGCAGGTTACTCCGCTGGCCGAATTTCCCCCAAAACGAATTAAGGCAGAGTTTGGCGACGGAGCGTAAGCCGGAATTACGTACGATGTTGTTTTTATCGAGAATGATACCTTCGGTTGCTTCATACTCCTTCAGGTAGCGTTCTTTAGCAACGTCGTCATTGCATTCGCTCGGCCACCCACTCGCTTCTTGTTTCAGTTGTAAAAAAGTGTTGATGTATTCGGTCAACAACCCTCCCTGTCGCGTTTCGGGGTTATAACGCGTAGATTTGTACTGCCAAATTTCGTCTACCCGCGTCACGAGATATCCTTTTTCGACTGCTTTGCGTAATTCGCAGGACACCCATGTGCCCTCGAACTCACGCTCCGCAGGATCGTCGTGAGTGCACGCGTCGCGAGAAAATGATTCGCAACATGTACGGCAAAGAGCAAATAATAATGTACCGCGCACGCGGTACGATAGTACAGGGTGGAAGAGATCACGTGGGGGAAGTACTCGGCAACGTACGAGACCCTCGACCGGAGTAAAATTAAAATTTGGCGCGATTCCAATTAAATCGGCGCATTCCTCGTCTACATAAATATCCGAGTGACCAATTGGGAAAACTCCGGTCTTGAGTACATACGGGTACAGAGAACATACATCGTATACGTACCGTATCTTCTCGGTGCCCATAACCTCGTATCGAGTCGCGATATTGCCGGTGCGTCCGCCGAAAAATGCATCGCGAGGATCGAGAGGTGGGATTTGCACCATGGGGTGATTTTCGAGAAATTTTCGCATCTCTCGATTCTCACGCATTTCTTCGTCGAAAACGCACTCCCATTTTTCTGTTAGGATATATCCTTGACGACGTAATCGCCAAGACGCTGCAACCGTTCGTTCGTAACGCGCGTCAAACGTGTCGTTAAAATTTTCGAGCGTTTTATCACGATTTAATGGAAGCAAGACGGGCATCCGTAAAAAAAGCAACCGTGAAATTGCAAAACGTGACGCCGCGTCTCACCCCCATTCTCGCATTCGTAATACCCGTCGACGAGCATGCCTTCCGTTAAATGATATTCACGTCCGCGTCCCGCGTGAATTATCCGATGACCTAACTCACGTTCCTTCAAAATTAATTGCGTGCCTTTGCGCGACTGGTTATCTTTAAACTTGTATCCACCCGAAGAAATGATTCCTATTTCTCCTTCGCGCAAAAAGTTTTTCCGAAAAACTCTCATGCACGTTGAAGCGATAGTTGTACATTCCTCGAATGGACACACGTTTCCCCGCTGTAAGAATATTTTTCGGAAGGCCATGCATGCTCGGCGAAGGATATCAACATCGATACGACAATACTCGAGTATTTCACGTTGGAAATCAAATATTACATTTTTTCCCGACATTTCTGCGTGCCACGCGAGAAAACGTTCGCGTTCCTCTGTTCGCATGGTTTCGGACGCGTAATAACGAACATCGGGTAGTGGATCGACATATGTTTGATTATCGACAGTATTAATACTGTCGATAGTATTAATAATGTTTTGTAGGACGTGTTGCGAATTCGATAAATTGTTTTACCGGATCTTGGCGAAAAACAAATTCGCGTACTCCGCACCACTCGCATCGCACCGACAAATCATCTATCTTCGCACATTTATTTAAATAAGTGCGGAAAGACGCCTTTGTCACAAGTATCCGGTAACCCGAAGGCCTTCGGTAATTCTGACAAACACATTGGCATATAATTAACACTGTCGATAAATTTCATGCGATTGCTGTTAGGACCATAATTTTTGTACCGTTTAAAATTACACGAGGTTCTAATCCGGAATAATTTTCTACAATGTGCCGAAGGATAAACTGCACGTCGAACGATTTCGCGTTATGCGCTATGCAAATAATACATGTAAAATGTTTTGTAGGACGTGTTGCGAATTCGATAAATTGTTTTACCGGATCTTGGAAAAACAAATTCGCGTACTTCGCATCACTCGTATCGCACCGACAAATCATCTATCTCCGCATACGAATCGCAAATCTGTTGCGCGACACACAGAGTCGGGACGTGAATTTTTATTTCGGTTCCCTCAAGTGATTGGTCTTGGCGTGTCTCAAAATCATAAAACACGAATGCCACTCGGCCCTTTTTGCATTTCCGCTCACCTGAATTATTCTGCTCGCTCTCTCTCGCAAATACAGAAGAATCCCCGCCGCACTCAACAACGGAGGATCTGTCTTCGCGAGAGAGAGACTGCATGTAACAAA